ATCTCTAGGTTTTGAAGGATTTTGAAGAACTAACGAGCATAGGAAATGAGTGTGATAAAGCTCACCGTGAGTCCTTATGGAAAGGGAATGTGATTTTATAAACAAAATCTCTGTAAACAGTTGACTGTCTCCCTTTACACTTTCACACCCACATACTGGGAAGCACCAAAATTTGTGTGTTCGAATGGTCTGGCCAAGGTCATGTGTATGATCACACAGAGGATAAGGATGCTGTCTGTTAAGTCCTCATTGTGCCTCTGGGTTTCTTGATTGGCAAATGAACTGATTTTGGACTTGCTTTTTATACTCTCTAGGAGGGGATGGTGTTTGGGATACTTTGCCTCACTATTTTGTTTCACCTTTCACAAATTCATGAATGTCTTGTTGCCTTTGGGTATTTTATGGCTCTGGACTTGTTCTTCATCTTGTTTGATACCTTATCTTTAGGTCAGTTTGTTCCTCCTCTTCATTCACGTACCTTTCTTTTTGATATGTATGTGTTCTGCTGCTTCTGGTACTTTCACACACGCACGCGCACACACACACTTCTCATACTTCATTAATACCATCTTAATATTTGTTACAAATCACTGCAAGAGAACCAAGTAGCTCCTGCTTTTCCCCTGAACACTTTGTTCCTCAAGTGCAAGCCTCACTTTTTATTTCCATCTGTACGGTAGCGTATCAAATACAGTTAGATGCCTGTCCCAGTAAGGAGACCCCATTTACTCTCTGACTTCAGGATTCTGCCCTATTCCAGTGGGTCATTAATGGAACAAAGCCAAAAGGAGATTCAATTATTTGCTCAAATCTGAAAGGCCAATGTTTCAAAACTGCAGAGTGTGCTATTAACAAGGATGAATCCTTTGGCAATGCAAAATACTTGCCGTGTGGAACCTAAGACCCTTATTACAAATTCATGAATGATTTTAATGCATCCTGGCAGCTTTCATAAGCATTGCAGTCATCTGGAAGCAGAAAAGATCATTGGTTTGTGCAAAATAATACAGCTATGCTCATATTTGATCTAGCTCTCTAGTGGGAAAGGAATACTTAAAACTTAAAAAAAAAAAAAAAAAGAAATATTTCTACTATACTACATCTCACCAAACTATTTAGAAGTCGTGTTCGATAAGAGATAATAACTCAATGGAGAGCATCAACAAAAAAAGACATCTAAAATGTGCACAGCACTTGATGTGTTGGAGGAGTTGTAAAATCATGTTGTAAAATTTAACTACCGGTTGTCAGAAAGTAGCACTCTAGTAGGAAAATCTGGCTGTGAAGAAGTTCTTTCATTTCATCGTAATTTTTTAAAATGCTTTCTCCAAAATGTGAGTTTCCCTCTGAGCACTCTTAACTTAGAGGCACTGTTTGGTGCAGAGACAAAGCTGTCGGAAAGGAAATCAGATCTGAGAGTGAGCAGCTTTTATTTCCCTGGGGCACTATGGTGCAAAATGACAGCAACAGTCAGCAAGTAACATTTATCGTGGTAGATGCTTGAAGAAGTATCCAATAGCTGATTTCTAGCACAATTTTCATAATACTACTTTTCCCAGTAAGCAACTGTTGTGGAAACAAAAGAGATACTGTATGATCACATGTCAGAGAGGAAGCATTCATGGGAGAGGATGCACTGAAATGAGTAGTGTTCCAGAGCTGCTGCGTATAATACTGTCGACGCTGATGTAAGGCCAAAACTAAAGATTCAAACTTTCAAAATTCCAGCTCTTATTTCTATAGAGCCAAACACAGCTGAGTTTTGGGTAGGGCTCCTAAATGCTATGAAACCTCTTCCTTCTGTAAGTAGAACAGGTTTGTCCCACTCGCTCAGATTTGCAAAAGGAACTAATTGGGAAATTCAGCTGGATTTAAAAGGAATTAATTACAATTAATCTCTCTTCCCAGTCTGCCATGAAGAAATTACAGTTTTACAGCTTGCTTTGCCACTGAATAATCAGAATTGGGCATCCTTCCTCTCTGTTCAGTCATGAGTAATTTGCATTGAGGGGTACCGAAGAACAGCGTAGTGTAATCACACCCAGGCAGCTAAACAGTCTGAAGAAATTAAGTCTGTGCATAAACTACGTCTAGACTTAAAAAAAAACCCCAAAACCCACACAACAAAAACAAGAGACCTGTGCCTGAAACAGAGCAACAAGCCAGGGAATATTTAGGTTGGTTTATATTTATTTAGAAATGTTGGTAGCAGATGGTTACCGACATTTCATCAGTATGGCTGTTTAAGCAACTTAAAAGCTGTAACAAACAGCACAATTTATGTAGCAGTTCGCCTTCTTTAGCCCACTCTTACTTGCGTTACCCAGAACAAGTCCCATTACAATTCATCACACGGCTAAGTAGCTAAAAAAGGAAATAGATGCAAGTGCAAAACCAGGGAAGCAGCATGGTTGTCCAAAACCAGGGATCAGTGGTTTCTCCATCGTGGGCTTTGAGTGACAGTTCTGTGCACAAAAGATCATTTTCAGAAGATTTCTTCCTCCTCAGTACAGAGTGTACCTTGGTTATTAAAGCTTGTAGACACTACAGATGCAGACGCTACCTTAGCTACTAGATAGGCATAATTCATCTCACCACTCTATTTTTAAGAGAGCATATTTAGCAGACAAACTAAACTACTCTGCTTTTTCCCCACATTACCCTTTTATTTTCATGCAACACACAAGCTGGCTAAGATGAGGTGATGGCTGACAGATGAAGGTGGCTAGGCAAACGGATGCCTGTGATACATACTGGTTAAAAAATACTGTCTAAAGAAAATAAATACAAATGGGGGATCTCAGCTGAATTTCCCAAAAAGAAGGCCTCGCACCTAAGAGTATCGCATCTAGAGTTGTCATACAGGATATACAGTTCTTGTATACCTCCCACTGAAACAGTCTAATTCGGCTGGGCTCCTCTGTCTTGGATTCACTGACAAATTCATAGGCAGCTGGACGGAACTACTTGCGATACGAAAGTGGAGATAGAAGAAAACATCTATTATAGCACCATAAAAGGGATGGGCAATGTAATGAGCAAACAGTGATTTAAAAATGAAAACACGAATGCTTGCTTTGTAAGTATTTACCGTGAAGCTGACTTTCCTGCTCCTGTTCGAGCAAGTGGCAAGGAACAGGGTAGTGACTCGTTGAGGAGAATGTCGCTGTAGATGGCCCAGAGAAGAGGGTGCCACCACCACCATCATTTCACTGCCTGACTTGGCCTCACAGCCTGCCTGGCGCCAGAAGCCTCCATTCAGCAAGAGCCCAAAGTGTGTGTGTCCATGTGTGTGTGCGCGTTTGTGCCTGAGAAAGGATTACTGACGGTACACTTGCAAATTGAAAGAGGTACTGACTACGCTCATTTGTTCCTTGCTGGGAAAATTCTATGTATGGTGCTGATGCAACATCATAAAAACCAGGTGGAGTCTGAACTGGAAATGGGTGTAGTTTGTGCTGATTTAATTGATTACATTAAGAATATGAAGCAGCTGAGAAAAAAATTTTGTTTTTCCTATCTTTCATTTATATGTAGTAAACGCTCAAAACAACTTTTATGGGAGTGAGTATCTCCTTAATTAGGAGTGGTGTGCTTTTAAAAGATTCTTTCTGTGTAACTTCACACACGTTGCACGGCAAGTTTTATTTAAGACCAGGATGTGCGTGTTTATATCCCTTGCTTGCAGGGTGTGTGCCCGCTATACGTTTTGCTGAGCTCCTCCCTCAGAGGTGAGCAGCTCTGAGCTTATACATTAGCCCAACGTGGGAGCATTTCCAGCCACAGCGTGACTGATGCTCCCATCGCCTCATTGTTTCCGTGCCCACTTGTGTCTAGTGGAGCACGGAGCCGGTGGCTCTCTG